TTGGTTAGTAAATTAAATTTACTTAGACTTACTGAAATTCGATTTACCGTTATCTAATGATTCATTATATAATACCTTCTATAGTAATTATTATTAAAACGAGGATAATTATAATACTAGGCTTTAGTGTTATAAAGGCTAGATATGACGAAAAATCATTATATTGTAAACGAGCAGTTAACATTAAAATTATAACAGTTAAAATTGTTTTTTCAAAATATTTCTTATGCGTTCAAACGATTTTTTGGTTCAGTTCATATTGAAAACTTCAAAAATTATTTCGAAAAAAATAGAATATTTTTATGTATTAATTTCGATGTTTTAAATAACCGAGAAGCAATCAATTTATCATACGTTGATAGGTACCAAATTTATAGTTACTAAATATTAATATTATTTATGTTCAAGATTTCAAACATTTCTTTTTTTTTTAATTTAATTTTCATATAACAAGACTTGTACACAGTAGTTATTAAACCTCGTTACATATGATTTTTTTCATAGATAAAGTTAGCGTAATTTATTAGCATATTTGACTATAAATAAATAATAATAAGCATCTATCGTATATTATATTCTAATTTGATTATATTGTTATGTCTTATACCTATAATATATACAATAAATTGTAATTAGGAATCCTGTGATTTTTATTTTAAAACTATACAATATTTATTTAAAATAAAAAGAACGCAAAAGCATATGAATAAGATTTTATGTCATACGATTGAATGCACGAATTGTTTGTTTAGCACTGCTGCACTGATGCAGATACCGTTGTTATTTTATTTAATATTTGTTTTTGTATTTAAAATACAAATGCGTATATTTTTATATTCTACACATTCTTTAATTAAATATATTTTTTTAAGATTTGAACACCAGTAATTGATCAACAAACAGAGACAATAGTATGGTTCTATATTTTTTTTTGTTATTAAAATTGGAAAATTGTAGGTGTTGTAAAATTATGTCAAAATAACGATATTAATATTACTATAGTGATAAATAATAATGATTTTAAATTTACGAAATGTTTAAAAGTATATTTTAGAATATTATATTCTTTGTAAATTAGATTACAAAATGGTAATGATAATAACAACAACTTTCAGACTAAAAGATGGTTATGAAAAAAGTAGGAACTTTTAATATAGGAATACATTTTTTTAGTATTATATTATTTAAAAAGTATTAAAATATGATATATAATTCTATAACTAGGTATGTAGTTGCTATAATTAACAGTCTATCCAAAATACAAACATTTTCAAATAATAAAAATTTTTCGCAATGTATGAATCATGTTATCTAAAAACCAAGATATAAGCTTCAAAACTATATTTATTCCATCTATTCCCTTTAGAGGAAACGGAACTCAAACTTTATACATTGCATAAAACTATTTAAATTTTTAAACTTCAAAACCAAATACACAATGTATACACATTTTAAGAACTATCTTACTCACATTAAACATTATATAACAATGATAGTGAGCATGCTAAAAACATTTTAGCATGTTTATCATCATTTTACTATGAATAAAGAATTTATGCAAATTGTGATTTTTAAAATGTTTAAAAAACTATAATATTTGAGGACTATGTTTTGATTTTTATACCATGTAAGAAGTTAACTGTTGTAGAAATACCAACTTTTTTCATTCACATGAGAATCTTCCTTCTTTCATATAAAGTGTTTAGTAAATTATATTTTTGAAAATGTTGATGTATCTTTATTTAAATTTGAAAAATTAGTTCTTGAATAATTTAAATTTTAAATGCACTTACTATGAATACATTTTGAATACAAATTACAAAAATTGCTATATCATTATAGTTTCTATATATTCCAAATGATTATCATAGACCTAACATTATTAGTAAATAAAAATTAAATTTATTAAAAACAATAAAATTAGTTTGAACTATGGTTTAAATAGCGTACATAAAAATTTAAAATTAACAACTTTTAATAAAAAAGAAGTTTGATTCTTATATGAATAAAAATATTGTTATCGTCGTAATACAGTCCTTAAATGATATAAAAAAATCTAAATTTTTGAAACGATAGACTTGTGTATATATTTAAAAGTTCCAAAATTCAGAATTTGAATAAATTAATAAAATTATTAATGAAAAAAATGGGGGCGAGTGAGCTTGTAAAATGACTACAGCTGGTTATTACGATGCATGAAATATAATTTAAGCTTTAAGGTCATTAGTTATTTATAAATTTAACCCGTTCAACAATATCATACTTGGCTTTTTTTTTTAGAAGTAGTCTTGTCAACTATGTATGATACAATTGTCTCCTCAGATGTAATCTATAATTGAGATTTTTTAGTCATAGTATAAAGAATAAATCATACAAACTAATCGTTATAAAAAAAAATATAACGCACATAATATTAACAATAGATGTATTGTTGTTTTAATAATATATTATTAATTTTATTCTTTTATGATTTATATTTTTGACAATATGTATTATGTATATTTAAAATTTATATTGATAAAATAATTATAAATTTATCTATAGCAACAAAATACTTCGATGACTAATATAAAAATTCTTAAAGTTTAATAAGATAATTTTGTAAAATTATCAATATTATTTTTTCAAAATTTAGAAAAATTTCATCAAATTAAAAAGATATTTTAAAATTAGAATGTCTTTTTTTTAGAAAACTATTGCACCATAAACTCTCTATAAGATATTTTAAGCCTTTAAAATTTATAATCAAAACATGATAATTAATATATATGTTATGGCGAAAGATGAATATTGGTGAATGTCGTCATTCTCCGGTGAATGACGTCTTTTACCAAAATAATTCGATTTTGTAGGTAAATGATGTAAAAACCAGATTTTAAATTCAAATGTACATCTTTCACCGGTCATTGATTTCATTTACCAAAACTAGTAGTAAATGTTGATAAATCTCAAATAATACACTGATTTTTTTACTATAGGTACTATTTATAATAATGACTTAGTGTTGGTGGATGTTTCATTTTTTATTTTAAGCATTTATTTGAAGGAGATAATAGGTTAATTAAAATTTTTAAAATACATGCATATTACAAATTATTTATTTCTACAATTTAATTACCATGACATTTTAAACTGCACAACATTTCCGCTACATTTTAAGCACATTTTTTAGTACCACAACTAGTACACACATTTTTACAAATAATATTAACACATATTTGTAGCAAATACAACTCGTTATAATATGCCCGTCGATAATAACTAATAAATTAAAAGAATCGACGTTATTGCTAGTTGGGATTTTCGTTTATCTATCTACTTCCGTTATGATATTTTTAACTAACGAAGCTTATTCGGTACCTACACGTTTATCACTGATCGTTCACACCAACATAAAAGTATTAAACATCATTCTCCAATAATTAAACTGGTGATTGACGACAATAACCGGGGAATATCTGCATTTACAACGTTTACCAATTTTTAGGTAAATGATGTCATTTACCGGGGAATGACGTCTTTTACCACGTTTACAGCATTTACCGTAACATATACATAGATATGAGGTAGGTGAATTACTCATAACTATTGGTCGTACATAGCCTATTTTATTAAGGTGTCTAAGACACTAATATAAAACCAGATAGTAATTTCACAAAACCAGTGTCATCTTCCTCTACAATCACACTTAACATAATAAACGAACAACTTATATGTTTATATTCCCATATCCCATGTAATTCTTATAATATTATAGAGTTTATTATTATTATTTATGTTAAAAATCATGATTATTTGGTATGTTTAGATTTTTTAACTATAATAAACAATGTAAAATGTTTTACGCTTTTAACCTTTGTTCCAAACGGAATTATATATTTAAAATAATTACCTCCACAAATTTGTTAACGAATCATTTCCAACGTGTTTTGCAGATTCGTTTATGTCCCATATATTTTGTAATGTTTACCTATTATATGATATTTATTACTCAGTAATATATAGTTGGGATTTGTGGGCAATTTTACATTTATGTTGTACAATAGTAGAAAATCGAAAATAAAAATGGTACGAGTATAATCATAATTTAAAAATCAAATATTTTACCGTACCTATTTATTATTTTATTTTGTTTATTTATAGATATGAACGAATATTATGGTTTTGAATTTTTGGTATTGATTAATATTTTAATATATTTTATTTCAATGAATGTTATATCAATGTTTTTCGTTCAATGTCTCATTATAATAATAGCTATTATTATTTAAATACAATTTGAGCTTACCTACGTAATTCAGAAAATCGTAAAATATATCACGTCTAAAAAACGCCTATGGTTAAAAAAAATCATAAATTAAACTAACTATAAATCTGTTTTTACAGATAATTGTTTTTATTCTAGTCGTTATTTTTTTTTCAAATTTCTTTTGTCGTTTGGTTGCACCAGCACGTAGTACACAGCACACACGAATACATTAAAATTGAACTACAAAAAAGTGTTACACACACGTTGTTGATTTTGTTCAGAAGTGTACAAGGGGATTGAGAAAGCTGCTTAAGTAAATGCTATGACGGCTGTCGGTAAAAAAATAAAAAAATAAAAAAAATTACGGAAATCCACATGGAGCCCATATGGTGCGGTTATTATGCTCAGCTTAGCGATAAAGCATTTTTGCGACACTACACACCGTTTAATCTTTCAACGTGTTCTAAGCTCATGCCTTTTTCCCCTTCGTCACCGACTTTAACCCCCCAACCGCATTGAACCCAACGAGAAAATCGCGACGAAAATCCACATACCAAGCAACACGGATTTTCCAGAGGTTGCATATTTAATGCACGAAACGTGTCGGAGGCGTCTGAATAAAACAGTCACACGAAGTCTTTACAGATATATGTATATAGTCTAATACTATGCATGTATATATATTTTAATCTTGTAGGTTTTACGTATTGCTTTATTATTATAATATATAAGAGTACTGATGTTCACTTACTTGGGAGGGCATGGTTGGCTGTTACACTCCACAGTTAAATCGTTGCCGTTTGGTCTTTCACCAGGACACAGATCGGCATCCACTTCAACACTCGTGTCTCGGTTCTGACAGATTATCCTGGACATTTCATACCCTGAATGAAATAAATACAAATCAATATTTATATTTTATGCATTTAATGTATTGTAAATATTATGTTGAGTTGTATACATTTTATTATTGTAATAATGTAAATAATATTAAAATGGTGTGTTATTCACTTAATGTTATGTGCTATATTGTTGTAACCGTGCGTATTTCTTTCACGATATGTGAAATGTGTATCTATAAACTACAAAGTAGCTTAAATAGTAAAAATTATATTTAAATCGTATATTCTCTTATGAAAATTTATTATATATGAATTGTGAATATCTACGCCTGTCCCGAGGAATTTTACTTTGATTAAATTAATCTATTTTACTGCGCAAAAATAACTTATTTGGATAAATTTGTTGAAGAAGTTTTTAAGATCGATTGTGAATAGAACTTTAGTTCTCTGCTTTGCTTTACTTATTCTACTTGTCTATCAAGTATCCATGACTATTTTCTGCCACAAGTACCATCACATTGCTCGTATATATATAATGTGTTATATTTTATGACATGGATTCTTATCATATATTATATAGTTCTCTTATTTATATTTTAGACTCCTTTGGAAATCTACACAGAATTGAATTGGGATCAGCTTATTGAGAGAGTGCACTTTATACAATAAGACACGAATCTTTTCATATTTTATTAATTCTTGGCTTCACCTATATTTTTTTATGAAGGTTAAACTTCTCAAATGTTAAATAGATTACTATAATTAATAATAATGTGGTTTAAGATTTTAGTTATTATTAAAAATAAAATCTAAATGTAAATTATTTGAAAACCATGAATTAACTTTGGGCTAGTATAAAACTAGTATAAGCCTAAAATATATGTTGAAATATAAATATGTCTGAACATAAACGTTAATGCATAGAGTGTCTTTAGCGGTACTACTATTAAATACATTAAGTACTAAGTCTACATTTTCGATGAGTTATTAAACTTTTGAAATAAATTAGATGAAATATACAACTGAGTTTTAAATTATTTTGTGAAAAAAAATTAGGTAAATAAAATATAGATATGGGTATAACAGTATAATAAAAGATCACTAAAAACATGATGTATGAAAAAAATGCAATTGAAAATGTTCGTCTGTTAATTATTTATTTGTTGTAAAATAATATTGTATTTCAACGCAAATTTGACAGCTGAAACTTCTAGGTGTAATGGATATTAACGACACTTTTCATTGTTATATGAAAAAGTTAATTTTATAATTACATAAATAAAAATACATTACACTTTACATTATAATTAACCTTTTGTAAAAAATGTAGGAGACATGTGAGTATCTGACTAAAACTTTTGTTTTTCGTTGGATTTAAAAACGAACTACGGCAGACACCTATATTATTTAAATAATTTCAACAACATTATGTTTTCTGCTGAGATGTTTTTATTTATTTTGGCATTTTATACAATAACCATTTACTGATATTTATAAAAATTCAAATTCAAATCATTATCACCAATTAATGCTATAGCGGTTAAAAAATAATTCTGTTTGAATGTTTAGTCGCATTTTTATAAAAAAGACCATAAATAAAAAATCCTAAATCTTCTAAAGTTATCTTAATGCAATTTTATATATATTTGTTAATTTTTAATTTATTGAAATTCTTTGCCGAAAATTAAAGCAATTCGAAATAAATATACTATATAAATTATCTTTCAAAAATTATCAGTTTGAAAAGTAAATACAAACTGCTAAAAAATTAGTTTATTGATGTAATTTACGAAGGAAGTAACAGGCGGTATGAGGATAAATAGAAAACAGGTATATAGCTATAGCATGAGATTAGCTGATGATATTGTACTGCAGATAGAAAAAAGCGAAGACAACAGAACCTCATGCTTAACGGTTTGTCCAGAATTTAATAAATAGTACATAAAAATAAACGCTACCAAAACAAAAATATTGACAGCCTAAAGAGATTAAACATATACCCATTCAATTATAAAATTAAACAACATAAAATTCAAGAAGAAGAACAGTTTTGGTCTCTTAGAAATCTACCGTAACATCAAAAAAAGAATAGCTTTATTCAAGCAATTATCTATGAAGAAATGCAGTCTATTAACTAGTAAGCATTTAAACATTGAAACTAATAAAAAAATCATTAAAATATTTGAATGGAATGTGTTGTTATTTGGGTGTGAAATCTGGACCATCAGGAAAAACACAAGAGACAATTTAGAAGAAATAGAAATGTGGATCTGGATAAAAATGCATAAAACATCATGGGTTGAAACAAAAACAAACAAACAAGTATTATAAGATGAAAAGATAAAAATGATATAATGAGATACATATTAAAAAGGAAAACGAAATTAATAGGGCGCTTGTAAGGTTATAACTTATTTGTAAACAATATACTTGAAGAAAAAATCTTGAAGAAAAAACCAAGAGGACATCCAAGAACATCATATTTCTAAGACTTCAAGTACCTCGTGGATATAACATCCTATTCACAGTTGAGTAACAGAGCAAGCGACAGAGGCATTTGGCTATCAGAAGGTGCCGCCTTTAGATTATGATGATGATGAGTTGACAAGTAATGTTGATTTAGTCATACAAATAAAATTTAAAATTTAAAATTTAAAAAAAAACCGAAAAAATACTGAAATCTTCTTCAATATATTTTCTCAATAATAGAAAAAATAAAGGGGAAATAAATGTATTTCATTAGTGAACATTATTTTTTTTAAATATTAAAAAATGAACGTTTTTATAGCATTGGTAAGTCATGTTGATTTACACTTTTCATACTTATTAATTATTTGTGGAGAAGCTGGCCTAAAATTGTTTTATAATCTTTTCAATATATTTTTTAATGTTAAAAAAAAGTGTATGAAAAAATAATTTTTATTGATAAAAATATTTTTTGAACATACTAAAACATTGAAATTATCAATAAAACAAAACACATTAAAAATGCATGACATATATTTTCAATTTTTTCAAATTTTTTATTCAATTATTTACCAATGGTAATGAAAAGATAATTAATCAACAAAAATATTATCATAATTATTATTATTTTTTATAATTCAAAAAAAAAAAAAAAACGATTGATAGTTGTATGAAAATCTCAAAATTAAGGCAAAAACGGAAAAAAGTAGAAAACCGATATTTCAAATAACGAACATAGATGACTAAACGAAGCAATTGCTATTGATATAATACACACACGTCGTGAAAATCGCGAGTAAACAAAAATAATAGGAATTACTCTATATTTTCTGCTACTCGACTTGTCAGTGAAATCCCCGTGTAAAAAGATCACGTGGTTAAAGAAAAAAACAATGTGAATAAAGAAAAAGATAATAGGCAAATATAACGCAAGCATCATGAATAGAAATATGAGAATAAGTAAAAATATGGATTTATGAGAATGATTAATGATTATATAAAAATAAGAAGGTTTTGTTTCTTAAGGGAAGTATGCATGAAAGTTTGCATGTTTTTATATTTTCAAAAAAAAAAAATTTTTGTAACATTAAAAATATAGAACTTTTTCAGGCTTTTCCATAAATAATTAGTATGTGTGAATCAGTATGATTTATAAAAATTTCCATGTTTTAATAATTAAAATAAAGTTTTTCACTAATTAACTACTTTTTCTAATACCGAAGGAGATTTCATAATTTTTTAATGATTTTTTGAATAAAATTAACATAATTCGTTCACTACGTCAATTTTATTTTGTATTAATAATTGTTTAAGCTGATATTTTTGTAGGATAATTTACATGGTATATTCATTTCAAATTGTTTTAGTTTCCTGATAAGAATTTTTGTTATTTGTATTTTTTTAAGCAAATACAAATGAAAAAAAAAACAATGACATTTTTTAAATATTAACAAACATACATACAATTGAATTCAGAGACCTTAAGGTATCTTTGGGGGTTTAAAATATATGAAAGAATTCAGAAAATTTTATTTTACGATCCTTTTCATGAAAATTCGGTTATGCATACAATCAGGAAAAAATTTTTTGGATCACCCTACCTATGTATATTTTATTTTTTTGGTTTACGAGTACTTAGAATAAAGGTATAATAATGATATAAATTTATCACGATATATTGTTGATTATTGAAAAATTATATCTGTGAAATTTGTGAGAAATGCATACAATATGTTATAGTATAGACTTATCCTGTTTCAAGGATCAGGTTGTTATTGATGGCAAACAGCATATAACCTTCCTAAGGCTCTATCCTACACTCGTTTTACGTACACATGAAGCATATAAATCGAGTTCAATATGTTTGTTGACCCTTAGTTATTTTATTAGTCAATAAGAATGGAATATATATTGAATATGTATGAGTTTGTATCTGAAACATACAATTATATTTCGAATATTCACGGTTTGATTTAGAAGAAAAATCTTATAATACATAATATTCCTATTACAGTTTAAAAAAAAAAATATATATTTATATATATATACAATATACATGTATAAATAGAGAAAAAAATATGACCAATGCCGTTGGTTTACAATGTTCACCCATCAATGCGTGTATACGTTTACTTACAATCTTATATCGTATCAAGAAGAGTAGTCTTTTAGAAAATCTACGACCCGTTTGGTGTGCACGAGTTGAATGTGTGTTTATTTTCTCAAAAGTCATGACAAATTTGTTGCTTATTCAGGGTCGAATTTGCAAGAAATAAACGGAACGTCTCTTGTATACAATTATTTGGAGTGGATATTTCATTTTTTTTTTATTGGAGACTAAAAGTCGTAAATCAATGTAAAAATAACTTTTTGATATTATTTTTTTAAATGAAAAAAAAGTAATAAATCGTTTTTGAATTTTATGAATGAAATAAAATTAAAATATATAAAATACAAATAGGTGAATTATACAAATTGCAAAATATATAGTAATAAGAACCGGAAAATATTTTTTAGATTTTAGTTATCAAGAATAATAACCATATTCATTGTTGATGTTATTTAAATATTATAAT